ATAATAATTAAAAAAAAAAATGTCAGTCTAAATTTCAGATATTTTTAATAAAATAAAAAAATTATCTACTTTCTGATAATGTACAAAATACATACCCAACCGAACTTACTTAATCGATTAATGAATGACTCGATTATTCAAAACATGAAATTTGTTTCTAAGAAGTTATTCGATCACTGCCATGAATTAAAGCGACACAATGTATACAGGCTTAAAAAAGAAAAGAAAACAGAACAAATGGTTTTTTCGACGTACGACAGTACGACCGCGCAAGCCTTTTGAATGGCCCTTTCGTCTGCATAACGCTTTCGCATTTTTCCAAAAAGGAAGAAGTCGCACGGTGCCATATCAGATGAATACGGGGAGTGGTTAATGGTTAAAATGTGATTTTTGGTCAAATAATGATGTCCTTCGAATGTTGGATTCTGAGCAATTTTAATGTTGGCTCTTTGTTCGAAGCTCATCTTGACATCGATAACACAAACATACTGACACTTAAAGCGCAATAATTTCACTTCCAATTTATGAAATCTCATGAAATTCTCACTGCACAATTGCCAAACATGGCAGATTCTAACGCACCAGTCGACATATGGATGGTGCCACCAGGGGGCGCTAGATTCAAAAAGACCTGTTCACTTCGGAACACACCTTGGCAATCAACCTCTTAACCTTTCGGGACAGGAGCTAATTGTTCAATTAATCGGCCTTTGCTCGATTAAATGCGACTTACAATACAAAATAAGAATATTGCTTTACTACATTAATTCTTCATCGTACCGAGATCGAGTTGGAACTGAAATGCATCTCTCCGGGTTGTTGTCCACACTACCAATCTGCTCGCTTTTAACTCTGCCGGTTGCTGTCCAGACTGTAAATTTGGTTGTATGCATTGATAAAATAGCAATCAGCTGACGAATTTTCAAACAAGTTAGAAAAAACTTCAAACGAAGAGAACAAGCAAGTGTAACTGCTGATTGTTACTATTAGATAGACTATATGGATGGAAAAATTACTGATTTTGTCTAAGTAAGTATAACAACTGAAATCTTAAATTGAAATTGAAAGCGTGCAAGAACTGAATCCACTCGACATCGCTTCGCTGTATGGGCTCTTGGAAAGTTCCAAGAAAATACGATGGTTTTCAGCCAAATTTTGTTCAGCGATCAGGCCCATTTCTGGTTCAAAGGGCATGTAAACAAGCAAAATTACCGCATTTGGGACGAGGAGAAACCTGGAGAGATCTTCCATTTTATCCTGAAAAAAAGTGTAACTGTACCGCCAATGGCGTCCGTTATCGCGCTATAATAACCGACTATTTGATGCCTGAAATTGAAGCTCATGATCTTGTTGACACTTCCTGAGCAGATAATTTCCCGTTTTGGGTCGATCGATTGGCTACTAAGATCAAGCGATATCACACCGTTAAACTTTTTCTTGTGGAAATGTTCGAACGATTCATCAAAAATTGGACTCAATGGAAATATTTACATGTATGTAAATAAAAATTCAAGTTATCACAATAACAGAGTTCTCTAGGGAAGCTATCACTTTGTAATAATGCTTTCTAGTCAACTTCAAATATATCAATAAATTTTCACATTACAACTTGTCTTTGCATACAAAAAAAGTATGTCACTTACCGGATCATTGTGCAGTAATTACTTTAACGCGGTCAACTCGGTGGCATACCGAACATGTCCAATAATGACCAATGTGACCAACGACCAGTCACTGACCAATATTTGCACATATTTATACGAGTAAATAAATGCAGCGTACGTCATTGGTAATGCGACACATTGTTGTTGTTGCATATTGTTTTTGTTATACGTAAGTGTTATGCAGAAACATTTTAAATTTTAATTTGTTGATTTATTAAATGGACTGCTTATTGCAGCAATTTGCCGTTGTGGTTTTTGCTATCGATTTATTTAATAAGATAATAATTGGTTATAGAGTCAAATTACTTGCAATGATTACACTTCAGGTGTGCAGCTTTTGGTATGGAAATTTTAATTGAACTGAATTAAATAAGTACTGCGGCTAAATTTCCTAATTGATATGAGCAAAGGCAAGAATTTTTTTTTTTTGTTCTTTGTGTGTGAAATGAGTTTTTGTTGTTACCGCTATAAAAATAATATTATATACATATTATTATATATGTACATATCTTGCTTTTGCGTATTCTTTTTTATTGTCAAAAATAATTTAAATAAAATCAATTTTCTGTTCAATCATATAGTTATTTGTATTAAAGTAATAATTAAACTAATATTTCAATAATCGTTTTCGATGATTTCATTTATTTGGCACTTGCAGCACACCAGCTGGGTTGGTAATCCCGGTTTGGAGAATCAGCAGCAAATCGGACGCGCAGTTGGCGACCACTTCTTCACCTGCCCAACTAATGAGTATGCCCAAGCGTTGGCCGAACGGGGAGCTTCCGTGCACTATTACTATTTTACACACGTAAGTAACGAAAATTTAATTTTACACTTTTTATAAGTTGACACTGGAGGAAACATTTTAGAATTATAACTAAAAATATATATTTTTTATTTTTTAAGTATATTGTTACATAACTATATTTCGTCATGGCCTAAAAAGCAAAAGTAGTAAAGGTGCTTTTATTCGGTGGCATCTGTTGTGAGAGTTGTTACTAAATTTACTAAACTCACAAGAAATAATAAATATTCATACTTTTTTTTAAAGAGTCCACAGTAAAGAAAATTTTAACTTTGATATTACCGTTGATCTCAGTTTGCCTAATATTTTAAAAATATTAACAATATTTACCGATTTAATATTTTTTTTTGGTTGACGGTGCGTATACGTAACATTCGAACCTCACTAAATTCTATGGGAAGTTCTGCACTATAACTAACCTTGTTGATTCGACTAAACTTATAGGGTCTACAAAACATGATTTTTGACAAAATATGCAAGTCGAGTGAAGGTAATTCACACACGTACACGATGTTTGGTTACGAGGTCGATACCAACACGGATCGGACTTAAAGAACTTAGAACGTCGATCCGTTGCGGTATATAAAATTCTCTTATAATAATTCATAACACCTTTACGAATGGACAAAGCGCTTTGAGCAAATCACAAATTTTTTGAGACAACTAATGTCATTTTCAGCTAAGTTTCCTGGCTCGCCAAAAGTAATACTACCTACATGGTTCAACCTTTCTCTAACAATGGCTGGACAATGGAGGAGAAAATGCCTGTATGTTTGCCTCTCAGCCTCCACCATGCAACTCTGTCAGCTAGCATCCGAAAATATTTTTAGCCCCACCGCATGGATTGCCTGTTAGATGGTGCCTACGATTGCGACAACATCAACTTTGTTACGGGCAAATAGTTCATTAGATTTCCTATGCTTTACTCTTGGCCAAAAGATTATGCAGTCGCGAAGGAGCGGATCGTCGGCCAGTGCATGCTAAGCTCACGGCTTCAGGTCTAGAACGCGAGGCGTCAATAGAGACGCAACTTGGTCTCATTCTGAAAAAAAAAAATCTCTACTTAGCTTACTTAATATTAGCCTTCCAATGTTGCCTCCTAGCTTCAACTCATTTGAGAAAAAATTCACTGCGCCTCTTCTCCAGCAACTGCTCCTCATCCACATATCCCTCGTCGGTATGTGAGCAGAAAAAACACCAGAAAGAGTAGCCTCTGTGACGCAGTGATCCAAGTTATCAGGAATACGACTTTTTAGAAAGCTTACTTCTTTAAAGTCTCAATGGGTTCTTTAATTTCTGGAAAACTCAGCTCGTTTTAGAAAGCTGAAGCAGTATATGTGACCTGGTCTACGAAAAGGGAGCTAACGTGCGAAAACTAGTTTTCTGGGAAACAGCTGTTAAAAATCTCATCTTCCATCCGAATCAACTAAAAAGTGAAATTAATTTTTAGGATTTTTTGACACCTAAGCCCCCTTTCCGTAGACCAGGTCACATATTCATAAATAATAATTCTAAAACTATTCTCTCTTCTGAAGGTGTTAGGGTTATAAGCAAAGATTACCGCAGGGAACTTTCCTCGATACCAAAAGGGCCTTGAATAATCAGCGGTCGGATGCGGTTATTGAATTATTTGATTAATTTGTATTTTGAGTTTTAAAGTAAATGAAATTTAAGATACCTTTTTTAGTGTTCTACAGACCTCAACCTGGTCGTAGTGGAATGTGTGATGAGTTCGAGCTCCCTTATCTTCAAATAATTTAATGTTGGTTGGCACACTGAGGTGATTTTTAGCGCTCTTATATCCTCCAAATCGCTAGTCTGTTATAAGAAGCTTCTCAGCTATAATCGGAAATACGATTAGGGAAACGAAAGAACGAATATAATATTATTTTTTTTTTTAACAGCTCCGCACATATCAGTCAAAGTCAGTTGAAATTTTAGCTATTTTTTCCGCATAAAAAACCAACGGAAACTCGCACATACATACACAATTCAAGTGCCAAATGAAACCCACTGCTCGGCTCGTGTAAATGAACACTTGTTGGTATTGACATCTTTGCAATTTAAAATGCCACATTTTCAAGCTACTGGCTGTGAGTTTTTGTTTGTTGTTGTTCGATGCAATTACCAACGCAAACTAAACGGTAACATACATGCTCACACACACACATACACATTTATACTTACATGCTTATTTGGGCTTTTCAACAAACGTGTCCACGTGCTGCCTATAGGTCTGTGGGTCTGTGAGTCCATTGAAATTGCTGACACTGTGTATCTTCAAGGGTGCTATTGAGAAAACGAGCAGCTGTGCTGTATTTTTTCATTTCCATTGAAAGCTAAATTGTGTGGTGAAAAGCGCCAGAGAAGCAATGAATAAAGCGAGAAGGCCAAAGTGTAAGGCCCGCAGATAGCGGTATTGCTATGAACGAATACATGTTACTTACTGACAACTGCATTTGTGGGTGTGTGTGTGTGACAGTGGCTTTGCCTTTCGCTCGTCATACTGCACTATTTGCTCGGACCGTTGGTAGCAAAAATAAGGCAAATAAGAAAGTTTATTTACACAATGTAATTATTAATGAAATGTACACAACTATCTGAGCAAATACACAAACGTATGCATAACGGCACATATTCGCACGCTGGTGACATACTTGCTGTGCGTGTGTGCCCTCAACATGCAGTGCTATCATAAGTGTGCTGACAAGTGACAGGATACTCACCTGTTCTTATATGTACATACATTGGTGTGTATACATTTATTTACATGTGTATGCATGTAATCACTTGGCACTTGCGATTTACTTAAAAATTAGAGTAAAATTTTTTATTTTTTAATTAATTTTTGAATGGTTTTGAGAAAAGCAACGAAATTATGTTACGCAACAAAAGTCTGTCACGATTAGAGTGGTTGATCCAAATATCCAGGGGGAAAGTTATATCGTTTTGCTAACTTTTTCTTAAATTTTGGTTTAAAACAGAAATGAAATACAAAGCTAAAGGGTTGTCAGCTGTTTTAAATTTTTAAGCCAGGAAGGTGTTTAACGAAAAAGCTCTAAAAATATGGTATTCTCTACGTTGAAAATTTTTAAGACTAAACAGTTCAAAATACTTTTTAGGAGTTTTGCCAACTGTCTATACCTTGTATTCAATTAAATTTATAGTGGTATACTTAGGATCACCAAGCTGTAGGCTCAATCGATTTGTGTACTTTGTTTGATTTATTCGATATAACTTTTGGTGTGTTTATAAATTTAAATGAAAATTTTTGGCAAAAAAAATTTTAAACCCATGTGAGAAAATACGCCATTGTAAATTAAGTAAAAGGAGATTATTATTTTTTTTGAAAGTTGCCACCTGTTATATTTTTGTGATATCAGTAATCGCAATTGTTGAAGAATTGATGTCGGAGGTAGTTGCCACCTGTTTGAAATATAAAAAATATTGACTTTAAAAAAAGGACACAAAAATGTAGAGGAATAGGATTAAGAATTTTCGTGGAACAGTCTGTTTCTCATAACATACAAAGAGGCATTTATGTGGTAGGCAGTTGCCACCTGTTTGATATTTACAAAAAATATTGAGTTTTCAAAATGTGGATGTAAATGTATAATGTAAAAGTATTTTCACTGAACACTTTTTTCTCTCAACATACAAAGAAGCATTTACATTTTGAAAGACAGTTGCCACCAGTTAGAAATTTAAAAAAATATTATCTTTGCAAAAATATGCACACATAACTGCGGAGGAAATTTTATGGAACATTTTTAACGAACGTGTTATTGAAAAATTTTGGTCGGAGGTGGTTGCCACCTGTTTGAAAAATAAAAAATATTGAGTTTAAAAAAAAAGAACAAACAAATTGAAGGAAAATGATTAACGGAATAATTTTTCTCTTAAAAGATAAAGAAGCATATATGTAATAGATAGTTGCCACCCTTTTGAAATAAAAAGTATTGAGTTTTCAAAAATATGAACAAAACTTGAGAGGAAAATTAAATGAAAATGAAGACTTTTTCATGAATTGTAAGTAAAGCCACGTTATGTCGGAAGTATTTTTTACACATTGTCCATTTCTTTCGACATTTCTACGGATATAAAAATACTGATATATACTTGTTCCTATACGTATGTATATATTTACTATTTGTCCTCCAACTGCAGGCAGAACCACGTTAATTTAATATTTATTTATTCAAGTTAACCGGCTTTTAAAATAGTAAAATATATTTATGTAGATATAAGAATAATAGATGTACACTTAATAATCTATGAGCGTCCACTAGGTACTTAAATGACAAGTGATATTTACTTTTGCAAACGCTTCAAATTCCCTGTAGGAATGTAAAGTTGTTTCAAATAAATTTTGTTTTAATATTATTAAATATTTAATATATAAAGTTTTTTTTAAATGTAGGTTTAAATGTTTAAATAATTTGTATATTTATATAATTCTTTGACTTTTCGAAAAAAAAACATTTTTAAATTAAAAAAAGTTTCTTTTGCATGTTTTGTAAAAACATATGTAATTTAAATTTTTAATAAACAAATTTATTTATTTATTTTTTTTATTTAACAAATTGAGAATACGAAAAAATAAAATTATAATTGCATTTTCTCATTTGTTCAAAAATTTTAAATTCATAAAATTTCTCACTGACTCATTTATCAGCCATTAAGCATTAGTACGCCAAGCTGCAATGTTTCCTCCAAGCCAGTATGACTTGATCAAATGTTCTGCCAGCAAAAATGTATGCCGCCCAAAGGGGATACACTACATCTACGGATATGAATAAGCAAGCACACACACACAAATAAATACGTATCCGATGCAAGTACACAAAATGCTTGCATTTCAAAGACAAGAAATATTAAATGAGTGACACATTCCAAGCTTGGGTACAAAGCAATGAACTTTTTCTGGCCATTTGGGGGTGGCTTGTGACTAAATGACAGCTGTTACTTCTTCGACATCACCTTGACACAGTTGGCCGCGGCGA